TGTGAGAGAATGGTCAAGGTAGATTAGAAGCTTTTTGTGTCATGTACACCAGGTGTTTGATAAATTGCTTGTATGGGATGGGGTTATGTTGTTTTTTTTGTTATGGTGAGTCAGTTCATTGTTATCCTACGTCTTATCTTTAAAGTTGCATTAGGAGCTGGGTTAGGATTCCTTTTAATTTGTGTAATAACATATTAAGTGTTTTTTTGTATAATATAAATTATGCATAAAGACACTTAATATATGAAATTCCCTAATTTACATAAAAAATTAAATCTACTTATTACTAATACTGCACAAATCCAATCGGTCTATCTCTGACTTACATTCAACTCTTGGTATATATATTATTAGAAGTTATTGTATAAAATCTCCTCTAGATCTCAATTATGCTCTATATATCAATTTTATTGGTAATCAAGCACTAAAAAGCATTCAGAATAATAATATATAATTTTCATGAAATAGCAATCATAAAAGTATAAAAATCACAAAACTCTATGTCAAATTGATTAAATTACAAAGATGTCTGGTATTTTGTGTATCTTGTTTGATGCATGAAGATCTTAATGACCAAAAATCAAACCTCCAAGATAGAATGAAATGGTTTCGGTCATGAATTATCCTTGTTTTCAACATAGATGCAAAAGAAAAGGAAAATGAAAAATAAAACAATGAGAAAATAAGGTTGGTTAAGATATAGTTAGTGAAAACAAAGACCCCACTCATGAAATAGCAACTAAATCCTATGTAACAACTTTATGGGTCATATGTTTCATTCCAAAAGAAAAGGAATATGAAAAATAAAACAATAAGAAAATAAAAAGGACTCCGACCATGTTTCCTAAAATCCGGCGAAGTCGCTCGACTCTGGCGGATGCCTGCCTAATTTCTAGATTCCGACCACCTCAAAAAATATTTAAAGAGGGAACCCAGAAATGATAACTATATATTATATAACACCTATATATTGATTTAAATTTTTTTAATTACATTTTTACACGGGAGCAAAAATTGATGTCATCGTGCTTCTTGGGCCTTGACTCTCTTTCATACCAAAATGCAAACCAGGCTCCAGTCACAGCCACCAGCAATATTATTAAAGCCACCAACATTCTCAGTTCAAAAAACGCACTGGTTTCCACAAAGTGTTACTCTTTACAGTAACATACCCCCAAACGAACATCATTATCCCTTGGGTATATTGCCTTGTCAGATGACAAGCACAACATTTAGAAATTGGGTTTCAATGTACTTAAACCAACCAAACCTTGGATATTTTTTCTCCCTGTTAAGTTTTAATTCACTCATAATACTATTTATTGTTTTAAGCTGTATTGCCACTTGTCGTAAAAGCTTAAGCTAGCCTAACATGCAAGGCCTAAGCATTATATAGATCTAATATACATCCTTATTTGCAAGGACTGGGTTAACCCACAAGCCTGTTAACCTTTGCAACCACTTGAAGCATATGACCTTACTTATATAAGTGCTTAACTTCAATATTAACATATAAAGATTCCACAGATCCAAACCCTGAGACTTTAAGTCAAGTGGTCAGTGGTTATAATAGGCTAGTAGCTTTGCTATAAGTCAACCCTAATATAATGTTAAATGGTCACTTGTTATAATAGCTTAAACTGCTAGGTAAGCTTTGCTAACAAGTGTCTGCATGTCTACCCTAAGAGGGGATCTCATAAAATTGAACTATCTTATGCAAGACTAAGCCAAACAACGAAATAAAAGAGTTAAAGAACTATAGCGACAAAGACAAGGATAATAAACCAACCTTCGCACCCTCATTTGTGACACTTAAATCACTCTCTGTGCAAGGGTTCACAATTATGTGAGGATTAAGTTCGACCCTACAGTTAATATCTTCAATTGTAGCTTTGCATTCCCAGTGAACTCCATCAGAGTCATCAACATCCATATTGTGGGGACTGCTGATAACATCTGAAAAACCATTGGTACAATGCCTGTGGTTAACATTCTGTGTTCTTGATTCAATACTAGCACCAGTTTCAGCAGCTTCCATGATACCACTGTTTATCTGGCAACTATATCCATCACCATCAGTATCAGATTCTAAATCACACTGTCTTTCACCCCTTTCGGAGCTGTTTAAATCCAGTTCTCTTTCTCTTTCTCCTGAACTCTGATCTTGTAGATTGTCAGCAAATGCTTTCCTGTAAAGTAAAACACTTTAAAGTAAAACACATTTCAAAAGATTGATGAATTACACCACCATCTCTTCCATACGGTAGAAGATATCAACCTAGCATAAAATAACAGAAGGCAAAGATAGCTCATATGCCTAGACAATTTGGAATAAATGGGAATAAAAAAGAAGGCAAAAAGGGTATATTCACCTCTCTCCACTTCCAGTGACTATTGAAATGAACCCTTATTCTTAAAATAAATGTCCCCTCATACTTTCAAGTTGAATGAATTAGCCCTCCGACATTTCTGTTGAAATAAATTAGCCATAATTTAATAGATGAAATAATCATACATCATCATTCTGTCTTTTCCCCTTCAATACCCATTAAGCTCTAGCTGATTTTGGGCTTAGTCTTTCCATGACATGACATTTTCTTTACAAGTAGCCAAATAAGATTGGTTAACTCTTTCTTTGTAACTAGTTTGATGCCAAGAAAAGAAAATGCCATGTCATCAGAAAAATAGGCTCAAAATAGCCTAATTAGGTTTTGTTTACTATGACTGCGGTTTTAACTTTAGTTTTAGTATTTATAAATTTTGCACTTCTAAACAAAAAAAAACTCAACTTGTGTTAAGAGATATTAGAAGACTGTATTAATAGTGGTTGAGTCAATTATAGTAATAGGCCTTCGAGTTGATTTGGAATTATTATGGATTGATTATTTGTTTCTTGGCCAATGCATCACTAAGCCTATATATAAAGGCTTTGCACTTGACAGTAATATCATCTCCTAATAATAAGAACTATGCCTTTCTTTCAGTTTTTGCTTCTAGCTTCTCCCTTTTTTAATTTTCTTCACAGCTTGTAAGTGAAAACTTTGAGTAGGTAAGTAAGTTTCGATAATGAGAATAGTAGTTTCTAACTTTTGACATGAGGATAAAATAGTATCTTCAGTATATGGCCTCTCCACCGGAAAAGGGATAGTAATAATATTTATAAAATCCAGAACCGCAAGGCAACTGCTAAATAAATTAACCATGCATGCCAATCAAAGATATCTAAAATAAATGACACTGAGCCTGCAAAGAACTCAAAGAAAACAACATGCCAGATACTTCAAGAAATTTTGCACCAAAAGCTGCACCTAGTGCAGGGACTGAAGTTAGTATTATGGGGGGTTGTTGATCCCTGGCCTTGGTCTCTACCTTAAACAAAAATGCAATGGATTTATCTTTGCTCAATAATCAGCTAAAAAACAAATATTTCCCAATTAAGGGTAAAATGTAAAATCAAATTCATGAGAGAACATAGATATCAGTAGCACTACCACTATATTTCTGAAAAACACCCCAGACAAGAAAACAGAATTTTACACGGTTAAGATGTTTTAGCTTAGCTAAATGACTTGCAAGCCAATAACAATATTTCACATGGCAAAACCGAATGTTAGAAAGGGAATTCACTCTACACTAAATGGTTAAAATTTATTGCTTGTGAAAAGATGGCAAGTAAAGCTAAAATGTGAAAAAATTCAAGAACAGCTTTATAAAATCCATATAACTTTTGCAGTTTAAAGAATGTAGATGATGATAACATGTTGAGAAATTTCACAAACCTTAAGAAACATTCTCTGATCACCTGTGCATAAGGTAGGACATGGAAATTTTCAACAACTGAAGTAGTAATCCATTGGTCAGAACTCTTTGTGATCAAAGGACCCTGCAGTCTACAAAGGAAACACAGATACATCAAAGTTCTTTTGGCTTTGCTTTCTGGCGGGTGAAAATACTTTTAAGTATATTAGCACAACAATCACTATCAAAAAGAAGAGAACCAAATACATAATCCTAGACCTAACTATATAGAACACAAACAGTCCTTGGAGACGGAGAATACTAATAGAATGATCTCATATGACAAGAAAGTATGCAGCATTATGATGCCTCATGTCATTAAGTACCATAGAATTAATGCAAATTTACCCCTGCATGTCAAATGGAAAATTTATCATGTCACCTTTAGAACATTGACCTACAATACAGTAATTTTAATAATTTCTAGCCTTTCATCCAGATGTCAGTACATCCAATTATGTGAAGTATCGTCAATGCCAGACATGCAGTTTCCATACCCTAAAAAAAAGCCAGGAGGCCTTTCACATATTTACTCTTGGAACATAACAATGTCAACAAAAATTTTGTTTAATGTCACTTATAAAAAAATCCCTCATCCACATATAAGTCTAGCATTCTTTGTACATGGTTTAATAAGATAGGGAAAACAGGATAAACAGATTATTCTATGCATCAACATACAAATTTTATCTTATCTAATAACTTCAGAAAAAGATAACCCAAAAAAGAATATAAAACCTTGCAAAAACAATTCTGGAATATATTCTTTTAGCTCAGAGCAAAATTTTAGTAGATGCAACTTATTTAGAACAACTAGATAACTATTAATTCAGAAGTAAACATAGTTTATGATTGTGAGAAAATTATCTTATCCAATTGCATGTCCAAAATGCATCTTTGGGACACTAAGAAGAGGAAACAGCACAAACAATAATCAAGTGACAAAAGTAACACCCATAATTTTCTTAATTTCCAATTTGCC